GACTTGACTAACAACCAACAGCTTCCCTGACTTGTATCCCTGCTTCCAGCTAAGAGCCAACCAGAGAAAGCCAACTTTGTGCCCCTAACCAATGATGTAGGACACCTCGCTTCTAGTCAGCAGCTTCCCCCTGCCAACAGCCGCCCATCAGAGAGCACCTGAAGTCTTCCCTTATCCCCAGGACACAGCTTTCTCACTTGCTGCCTGCCTCTGAGTCTCTTCCAAAACACAGTGATGGTGCTGAGTCCCTTGTGACATAGAAAATTCAGAATAAATAGCCTTTGCTTTTCTCATGTGGATAGTCTTTGTTTATTGCCTCATATACTTCTGGTGCCTGGCAGGCCTAGACACTCTCTTTCCCATAAAAAGAACTATGTGGATAGGGAGGAAATGAAGTGACAGGGATCCAGGATACGAGGGGACAGAGAGCCACAGCAGGATATGGGGACCCACTCTTCATAGGTCCCACCTGTCATCAGACCAATTCCCTCTGTGTCTTCAGCTTTCTTGGTTCTTGCTTTCTCCTTTCATAAAACAGATGCAGTGAATCAAAAGTCTGGAATCTCTCTTTTCTTTTTTTGAGACAGAGCCTCAAGCTGTCGCCCTGGGTAGAGTGCCATGGCATCACAGCTCACAGCAACCTCCAATTCCTGAGCTCAAGCGATTCTCCTGCCTCTGTCTCCCAAGTAGCTGGGACTACAGGTGCCCACCACAACACCTGGCTATATTTTGCTTGCAGCTGTCATTGTTGTTTGGTGGGCCTGGGCTGGATTCAAACCTGCCAGCTCAGGTGTATGTGGCTGGCACCTTAGCCACTTGAGTCACAGGCGCCGAGCAAGGTCTGGAATCTCTTAAAGATGGCCTGCCCCTGATGGGCCCTCAAGCCTCAGCCCTGGGGACAGTGTGGCAGACAGGGAGGATGTAGAATGTTTTGTTCCCAGCCTACTCCGGTCAAGTACCCGGAAGAGGACAGAGCAGGCCTTGCAGAGCCCCTCAAAACCTGTCTAAGCCTCTTCTTCATAGATGAAAGAAGAAGGTTCTTCTGTTTGAAGGAAAAACCATAACAAAGGTTCAGGCCCAGAGCCATCTCTTGGGTTAGGGGATGCCAGAGGCACACTCAGCTCAGCCCCTCCCTGCTACTGGCTATAACATCCCTCGACCTGCTGCCTTTGTGAAATCCAATTAACAGGCACACTGGCTGTGCCTTCGTAATCCAAGGCGATGTGGGGAGTCTGGAGTGGCTGCAGCGAGGAAGTTCAAACAGCATCGTCACCAGATTCCTGACCAGAGGATGCCATGATAAACAATTCCGCAGCCAGCCAGAGATGGACACATGGCACCGTAAGCGGCATTTCTCCAGCACTTTGCTCTGTGCCCCCTGGAGAAGGCCTACTTACTCATCCCACAAGGCGCTCCTCAAATGTCAAGTCTTTTGGAAGCTCTTGATTACATACCTAGCCCCTGCCCATTCCACTCTTGGGAAGGATTAATTCCTCTTCCCAGAGATTTCTTCCAGCATTTTGTCCATACCAATATCACAGCAACCCCTGGCTTCCTTCAGGGAGAGACCCTGGTTGCTTAGCCTTCTTTGTTTCCTTGCCTCCTGACACAGGTCTGGGAGACAGCAGGTGCTCAAGGAAAGGCCTAATAATGAATGAACAAAAGCACAAAAACTCTCCTTTTACCCCAAAGAAGCACGCCCCCCACCCCAGTTGCCTCCTGTGCCCTTCCTGAGGGCCCCAGACAATTCCCATCATCCATTTTTAATCATTCTCTCTTCCTCTAAAAAGCAAAGATCCAATCTCAGTTGGCTGGACACAGCACCAGAAGACTCTTCAGGTAAGGTGGCTTAAAAAGGCAACCCTGGCCTGCAGGGTGGGTAGCCTGGGTTCTAGTACTGGATATACTGCTGAGACCCTGTAAAAGTCCCCTCCTTCCCTGACTTTCCTTCTCCACTCATGAAATGGGATAGCAGAGGCAGTGCTAATATTTTTCAAGATAGTCTCTTAACTGTTGGCCATAGACTAAATCTAGCTTGCAAATATGTTTTATTGACTTTCATATGTGTTATATAAAACCTGGAAAAATTCACATAACTATCCTTATTTCTAGCTTCAATTAAATCATCAGGAGAGTAGACAACATTGGCCCATTTTCTCTTGTGGCACACCTAGTTCAAGCTGGGTGGGGCGTGTAGTTGTTTGCCTCAGTCCCCACTACTCCCTGTTACCTGCCCTATCTGAGTCACTCATTCCTTAAAGCTAGTCTCTCAGGCATTTGAGTTTATAACTCCTGAGCTGGTCAGAGCACTATGGCTACAGCACTTTAGAACAGCTGGGATAGGTATTAACGAATGCCTAGGTCCAGGCCCACACTGAGATATTCTGATTTAACTGGTCTTGGGACACAGCCTGGGCAATAGTCTTTGCAGAAAAGCTCATCAGAGGATTCTGACTTCAGCCAGAGATGAGAACAGGTCAAGACATCTGTTGACTATGAGGACCTATCTCATTGGTATAAAGAAGCAGCTGCGGCTCGGCGCCTATAGCTCAACCGGCTAAGGCGCCAGCCACGTACACCTAAGGTGGCGGGTTCGAATCCCCAGCCCGGACCCGCCAAACAACAATAATGGCTGCAACCAAAAAATAGCCGGGCGTTGTGGCGGGCGCCTGTGGTCCCAGCAACTTGGGAGGCTGAGGCAGGAGACTCGCTTGAGCCCAGGAGTTGGAGGTTGCTATGAGCTGTAATGCCATGGCACTCTACCCAGGGGGACAGCTTGAGGCTCTGTCTCAAAAAAAAAAAAAAAAAAAAAAAAAAAGAAGCAGCTGCCAGTAGAACAAAGGTGTGCAAAGCAGGCCAGGTTAAAAGCATCCATGAAGGCTCAGCACAGTGGTCACACTTGTAATCCTAGCACTCTGGGAGGCAGAGGCAGGTGGAGTGCCTGAGCTCATGAGTTTCAAACCAACCTGAGCAAGAGCGAGACCTAGTCTGAAAAAATAGCTGGGTGTCATGGTGGATGCTTATAGTCTCAGCTACTTGGGAGGCTGAGGCAAGAGAATCACTTAAGCCCAAGAGTTTGAGGTTGCTGTGAGCTATGATGCCACAGCAATCTACTGAGGGCGACAAACTGAGACTCTGTCTCAAACAATAAAATAAAAGCATCCATGAGTTTGGTTAAGCAATGCCTCTCAATTAGTTCTTATTATATAAGGTGGTCTTGGCTATTTGGGGGTCTTTTCTGGTTCCATACAAAGCATAGAACTATTTTTTTCTAGATCTGCAAAAAATGGCATTGGTATTTCAATGGGAATTGCATTGAATGTGTAAATCACTTTGGGTTGTATAATCATTTTAACAATGTTGATTCTGCTGATCCATAAGCATGCCACCATTTAATCCAACAATCCCACTTCTAGAAAAAGAGATCATTTTATAAAAAGGACACCTGCACTTGAATGTTTATAGCAGCACAATTTACAATCTCAAAGACACAGAAACAACCCAAGTGCCCATCAATACATGAAATAGATTAATAAAATGTGGTATATGCATACCGTGGAGTACTATTCAGCCATAAAAAATGGCAATCTAGTATGTTGTGTGACAACCTGGATAGAACTGGAAATCATTCTTCTAAGTGAAACATCATAAGAATGGAGAAACAAACACTTGTACTCAGTACTCAGTTGGAACTAATCTATCAACACTTAAGTGCACATATGGAAGTATAGCTCAAAATCAAGCCGGAGGGGGGGAGGGAGAAGGAGTGAAATGGGGACATTCATACCTGTTGGATATACTGCACTGAGTGAGGAAGTGAAGAACATACTTATAACTTTGACTCAATCTGTACAAAAGCAAAGTATGTTAACAAAACATGTGTGTTCCCTAATATTCAGAAATTTAAAAAAATCAAAAACATGAAAACAACAGAAAGTATCCTCAAGCCTTGCCCCGGTTTCCCCCTCCCCATTATAGGTACTTTAGCCTCTCAGGCACAAATGCTATGAGCTCTGAAAGCTTCACTCAGAAACAGCTACACAAACTAAGGCCTTCTGTTTGCACCTTTCTGGGTCCACTTGTAGCTCCTCCTGAGCCACTGTGCAAGCTACTTCCTATCATTTGCCAATTCATGCCACTCTGTTCTGTCTGGAACCCACACCTCCTCCAGGAAGCCTGCCCAGATTAAATTCAGCTGTATTAGAGACTTGCTCAAGTCCCTCATGCACCATCTGCATTTTGTGTATTGTTGCTTTGAACAGGATTTTAGACTCTTTTCGTGGTGCTATCATATAGAAAGTTCCAGAAGGCAGGGACCACCTCTCCTAGGCTTCTGGTGCCCTTTGCAATTCTTTAGCCCCACCATTCTGCAAACACTCAGGCTGTGGCTCTGCCCCATGTATCTTTGAGTGGCAGTGACCTCTCACAGGACGATGGGGGTACTGCTCCCTGGGAAGGGGCCCAGCACTACAGCTGTCAGCACAGGCCGCTCATGCATCCAGAGAAGGCACTTCAAGAGAATCTACAAGGCCTGTCTGCTGGCCTCCTGCCATATCCCTGCCAACAACAATGTCCACGTGTTCTTTGTGCTCAGCAGAGAAAAAAGCAACATCCCTGGCATCTGTCACTCTTGAAATGGGAAATCAACACAGAACAAAGTGATATTGGAGGGTGAGAAGGAGGCTCGGTCAAGGCTACTGAGAAATAATGACTTCTGAGCCTCAGGATCCAAACACCTCACTGGTCTGTTCAGAAAAAGAGAATCACTCCAGAACTCACACCCTTGACCCTTAGATAATCTGATGCACAGCCAGCTGGAGGCAGTAGTGACCTAGAGACTTCCAGGCTGCAGGGAGAACATGAGTCCATCTTCAAAGTCTACCACTTGGAACGACTTCATGGTCTAACTGACCAGGGGCTGGTTCTGGTCCCAGATGGTGTCAAAGCCTGGAGGATAAGGGCGGGGTATGCCCTCTTGGCTGGAGCTGACCAAGGCCTACCTCGAAGCTGACTGAATGTGGTCATGAACTTGCTGGTGAGGGACTTGAGCTCGTTGTTAGCCAGTGTGATGAGGTGGATCTGGTCAGAGACATTCCGCAAGAGTTTGTAGATGCCGATGGGGAAGGAAACCAGCTTGCACTCGGCCAGGTCTGCAGCCAAAGGACAAAGACAGACCACAGCATCAGCCGCTGTGCCCACACACCTGCCCCAGACCCATGTGGACCCCCCCTACGCCTCCCAGCCTCTTTGCCCTCTTGCCTGTTATCCCCAACCAGACTTCAGACCCTGCCCTCCCTCTTTCAGGAGCCTTTCTCATCAGCATTCACTCACACGTGCCCTTCCCTTGCACCCTGAATCTTAGTATTTACTCTTGTGTGTTCTCCATTACCCCAGCCTTCTAGCCAGCAGTGTGTCTGCCAGCACAATGACAATCAACACTCATAGCAGTGTCCTTGACTCCCTCTGGAGTCATCAAAGACTCAACAGAAAAGGTGTAATCTTATAAGCACTTCACAATGATCTCCTCTGAAAACAGGCAATTCACACACACTTTGTGGTTTGACTTTCCTTCTAATCCTATCATGCTGAAGGCAAGCCTTGTATAGGCAGCAGCGAGGAAGAGGCTGTGCAGAACAGACTGGCAGCTCCTCAAATGGCTCAACTCAGAGTGACCATATGACCCAGCAACTCCACTTGTAGGTATATACCCAAGAGAAATGATACACACATCCACACAAAAACACGTTACACACAATATTCATGGCAACATTATTCACAATAGCCTAAAAGTGGAAACAACCCAAATGCCCATCAATCTGAAAAACAATCAGCAAAATGTGGCATATCCAGAAGAAGGAATATTATCCAGCAATTAAAAGAAATGAAGCCTTGGGTGGCGCCTGTGGCTCAAAGGAGTAAGGCACCAGCCCCATATACCAGAGGTGGCGGGTTCAAGCCCAGCCCCGGCCAAAAACTGAAAAAAAAAAAAAAAGAAGAAGAAGAAGAAAAGAAATGAAGCCAGGTGTGGTGATTCATGATTCATGCCTATAACCCTAGCACTTTGGGGAGGTTGAGGTGGGAGGATTACTTGAGGCCAGGAGTTTGAGACCAGCCTAAACAAACATAGCAAGACCCTGTCTCTACCAAAAGTAGAAAACTCTGGGCATGGCAGCACCTGGCTTCTTGGGAGGCTGAGGCAGGAGGATCACTTGAGCCTGGGAGTTTGAGATTATAGTGAACTATGATGATGCCACTGAACTCTACCCAGGGCAACAGAGTGAAATTCTATCTCTAAAAAAAGCAGGAGGATGGGGCAGTGCCTGTGGCTCAAGGAGTAGGGCGCCAGCCCCATATACTGGAGGTGGTGGGTTCAAACGTGGCCCTGGCCCAAAACTCCAAAAACAAAAAGAAAAAGGATTAATCACTAATAAATTGCATATTTAAAATTAAAAAAAAAAAGCCGGAGGAGGTGCTCGCTCTGGCAGCACATATACTAAATTGGAGTGATACATAGAAGATTAGCATGGCCCCTGCTCAAGGATGACACGCAAATTCATGAAGTGTTCTGTATTTTTTGAAAAAAAAAAAAAAGGAGGAGGAGAAAGAGAGGGAGCCCATTCACAAAGACTCACAGATCATATGGCTCCATTTATATGAAATGAGTACAATAGGCCAATTCACAGAGACAGAAAGGTAGGTTAGTACTTGCCTAGGGCTGCAGGGCTTGGGGTAAGTGGTAACCAAAGGGTGTTGGGGGTTCTATGTCAGATAATATAAGCGTTAACGTATTCTAGGATTGTGGTAATAGTTACAAACTCTGGGAATATATTAAAACCATTGAACTAGGCCAGGTGCAGTGGCTCACACCTACAATCCCAGCACTCTGGGAGGCTGAAGTGAATGTATTGCCTGAGTTTACAGGTTTGAGACCAGTCTGAGCCAGAGTGGGACTGTGTCTCTAAAAATAGCTGGGTGTTGTAGTGGGCGCCTGTAGTCCCAGCTACTCAGGAGGCTGAGGCAAGAGAAACGCTTGAGCCTAAGAGTTTGAGGTTGCTGTGAACTATGACGCCACAGCAACAAAGTGAGACTCTGTAACAAAACAAACAAACAAACAAAACATTGAACTGTATAAATGGATGAATTATATGGTAAGTGACATCTCAATAAAGTTGATATGTATGTATGTGCATATATACACATACACGGTGAAAAAAATGTACACACATTCTAAGAAAGGAAAAAAGCTGTATTAAAATTGCAATACTCAAGTCGCGACTGACTTCTGTAATTACAAGAGGTGCTCAAATGTGACTCGCATTCATCTTTTGTTATTGGTATATATTGAGAGAGTGTGTGTGTGCACACGCATGGTAAGAGGGAGACACTGAAAGCACAAAGGTCAACTCATCGAAGTGTCACTCAAGTTCCCTGAGCCTTAGGATTCTCCTCTGTACATTGAAGGTATCATTATCTACCTATCAGGGCTGTCAGGAAAATCACATACAATACAATAATGACTAAAAACACCTGGCACAAACCTAGCTGGAATGCTACAAATGTTCTTCCTCTCCCCTCTTCCACTTTACCCTCCTCTTCCCACTGGATCCAAATCTTCTCTATGCTTCAAGGTCAGCTCCCTTCCACCTCTTCCAGATGTCCTCCTAGGTCATCCCTTTTACTAGAGGTCATCCCCCCACCCCTGAACCCCAGGAGCACTCACTGCTTCATCTCTCTCTCTCTCAGCAAACTCTCATCTTTTCCCCAAAGAGGTCAGGCTCTTTTAGGCCTCTAAGCCTTTGCAAGTTGCTCCAAAGTACATATGCGAACTTCAATAATATTCTCATATGCCGGCAATAAAATGGAGTTTTTAAATAAAGATCCTATTCCTAATAATAACAATAGCACCAAATATATGGAAATAACCATAATTGAAGCCCTTCTCCCTCATCTGCCTTACTGAATTTCTACTCTTGCTCTAAGACCCAGCTCAAATGTCACCTCCTCCATGAAGCCTTCTCTAACTGCCCATTGCAGTTAGCTGCTCCAGCAGCTCAGCCTTGTTTAATACCTCTTTATCCTCTATTATGTTAACTCCTTTTTGTGTCTACTTTCCCACTAGACTGGAAAAACCCAAAAGCAGTGTCAGAAGTCTGGGATGCTTGAGAGTAGGGCAGGGGCTCTGGTGACATCACTGAGGTGGTTTGAGAGAAGACAGCAGATAGGTAGGAAAAGGGCAAAAAGTGACTGAGGGTCCACATGACTCCTCTGCTGGGCAGCATGAGTGTTGTTAATGTAGTGTCACCAACATCTACTCTGGTCAGGGGCTGCACCAGGTAATCCCAGACCTGCCACTGTCCAGTGCAAAGCATCAGTGTCACATCAGCAGGTGAGGTTGGCAGGAGAGAGTACCCAGTCCTGCCAGAGAGGAGGAATTCCCAGAAGTCAGGCTTTCAGAAGTGGGAGTTGAAAGTTGGAAGTTCAGAAGTGGAAGTTGAAAATTGGACGTGGACCAGCACTGCAGGCTCAGAGTTTGGGGCAAGCTGGCAATTCTAGAGACAATAATACTGTACTTCCAAACAACAAGCCCCCTGATGCTTTGTGCCAGATGCACAAAGGGCTGGACAGGAGTTTGTAGGAGTTGTTGTGAATTATCCCAGCCCCTTTAGGTAGAAGCAGACGGATGTCATCATACACGCCAGGAGCAACATCAAGGGAATGGCAGGAGCTTTCTTTTTGAAACAAGGAACAAAGTAAGGATGCCTTTGATAACCAGTATCCCTGAATATGGTCTTGAAAATTCTGGCCAATGACATAGAGGCACAGACACTGAAAACAAACAGAATGATTATGTGCAGGTGAAATGACCAGATAGGCTCAGAAACCTAAAGCAATCATCTGACAAACTGCACAAATTAAAAATAACTCAGCAATGTGGCTAATCAAAATAAATATGCAACCCTATAAGTCAATAGCATTCCTACCTGCCAGCAATAAAATATAAAGATTCTATTCCAAACAGCAACAACAATATAAGATACATAGAGATATTCATAATGGAAAATGTATCTAAACAACATGAAGAAAAGCAGAGAAATTCACAAACCTAGTTTTAAAAATAGATTTGTTTGTGAAGATATATGAAGTGTTCATTGATAACAAGTCAAATACTAAAATGATTTTCCTTTTTTTTTTTTTTAGAGACAGAGTCTCACTTTGTCACCCTCAATAGAGTGCTGTAGCGTCATAGCTCACAGCAACCTCCAGTTCTTGGGCTTAGGCGATTCTCTTGCCTCAGCCTCCCAAGTAGCTGGGAGTACAGGCACCCACCACAACGCCTGACTATTTTTTTTGTTGCAGTTTGACCAGGGCCGGGTTTGAACCCGCCACCCTCAGCATATGAGGCTGGTGCCCTACTCACTGAGCCACAGGTGCCACCCTAGGATGATTTTTTAAGAAATTGATTTAAGATTTTTTAAGAAATTGAACTCCTACTCAAATTCCCAAAAGGTTTTTTTTTAAAACTTGACTAAATGGGGCGGTGCCTGTGGCTCAAATGAGTAAGGCGCCGGTCCCATATGCCGGAGGTGAGGGGTTCAAACCCAGCCCGGCCAAAAAAAAAAAATACTTGACTAAATGGTTTAAAACTGAACTACAAAATACATGCAAACAAGACCCTCAAGACAAGGAGAGATTATAACAAATATCATATGGCTACAATAATTAAAACAGAGGGCAAAAGGAAAAATAGATCATAGAAAGAAAATATACAGTCCAGAAATAATGTCATAAGTTAATAAACCCTGAAGGAGGTCTTCACAGATAAACTGAAGAATGGGAGGACTTATCAATTGAGGTCGGAATAAACATTTAATAGTTTTTTTTTTTTTGAGACAGAGCCTCAAGCTGTCCCCCTGGGTAGAGTGTCATGGCATCACGCTCACAGCAACCTCTAACTCCTAGGCTCAAGCGCATCTCCTGCCTCAGCCTCCCAAGTAGCTGGGACCACAGGCGCCCGCCACAACGCCCAGCTATTTTTTGGTTGCAGCCATCATTGTTGTTTGGCAGGCCCAGGCTGGATTCGAACCCGCCAACTCAGGTGTATGTGGCTGGTGCCTTAGCCGCTTGAGCTATAGGTGCTGAGCCAACACTT